CCCTAAATAAACAACCCTCGATCCCACAAAGTAGAATCTCAGATGACACATTAATAAGCTTATTTATTTTAAACACGCATATTTTTGTGCTCCACCGAGCCTGCAAAGTAGGCGTATTTAACTAACAAGTCGAGATTTCCTTTTTACTATATCGAAGAAAATATATATACCAAGGCGGAACTCCAAGAGGGGATCTTATCCCATATGCGACTAAATGTCAAACGCAGTTCGTTCATATTGAGTATTGTCATCATAACTTTTTTTAGCAATAATATAACAAGCCCTATTTCCTATTTTTGTTCCTTAGAGTATACATTGCACCACCCTCAAAAAAGAAAGTAAATTAATGTTTTCTTTAGAATAAAACGGTCTTAGACGATCTATAAGACTTACAAAATACTTTTCAGTTAAATTTAAATCAAATTGCCTTGGGTGTTTCAGTTGTTCGTGAAAGAGAGAATGACCTTCTCTGTCATGTATATTAGGGTGACATTGTGCTCCTTTAATTATAGCCTGTGAACAGGCTCTCTGTTTGGGGAAAAATAGCGAGGAAAGGGAAGGCAAAGGGGGGGAGAGAGCCTGTAGACAAACATTTGAGGCCGCTATTCCGCCCTCTTGTAATTATCCTACTGTGGGAAAATTAACAGGAAATGAGCGGAATTTTGCTCCGTCTGAAAACAGAGTGAAATGGAGCACGAACCTCATTGTCAATTTTGCAAAAAGTCGTTGATCTACAGTAAGAGAATTAATAAGCCGTTCGTCTTGCTAGTTCGGTTTGTAATGAGCGAATTTGGAATGCGGAAGGTACAGATACTATCATGACTTCTTCAGAACGTGAATCTTCGAAGACAAGTACAAAGAGATCAGCAGCGCTTCGATCGCCGACAGGAATTACACCTTCGGGTATTTATAGCAGTAAAAGGGGGTGGTAGGCTGACACGACTTTATGCCAAAATGCTGCTTGTTCCCATAAGTTTTTTCCTCTGCGGGGTAGATTATTCTCTGGAAGGTTCTGCATTTTCACTGAGCAAATGTGATTTTAGCCGCTTGTTTCACACTGAGAGGTCATGGCACACATGTCGATTTACTGTGGTTTTTGTTTCTGGTCGACAGGATTTTCCCTCTGATGCAAGAGCATTTTCTTTGACCTCTTTTGAAGCGTAAAGCTTTTTATTGCGGCTGAATAAGGGTCTTACTTTTCTCCAAAGTGCCTCTCGATCTGAATAAGTAAGCGATTTTCTTTAGTCCATGAATGTAATGTTTTTCCGCAATGTTGCATCCTGACGCTGGGCCCAGCTCGTTAGTTTTCTTTGCAGACTGTTTAAAAATTATCTCGGATAGTTATTTACAGATCCAAAATTATAAGAATGAAGTGCAGCTTAAACCGAAGCTACATGAGCTTTGGAGAATTGCATTGTGCTTCGGTAACTACAAACTCCAGCACAGTGTTTTTTTAAAGACAGTTTGAGTCTTTTGACCGGAGCGCGTAGTTCCTCCCCTTGGTAGTAGTCTTTGGACTGTTTTGTTACTGCCACGCTGTGATCAAATCGCGTGCTACGTGCCGACCGAAAAGCCGATATCAATCAGACCTGTCAACAGTCACTGTTCTCGCCAATAGGAGCTTGCATCAGGATCTGATGCACAGCGGGTGCCGTGGAACTGCTGTCGCAAATGTTTGTCTACAGGCCTTTTCGCTTTTCCCTCTCCCCTACTTTAATTAAGGTTTTATCCCGGCTTAGTGTTGGCCTAGCAACTTTTTTTTAATACAGATTGATCTGAATCGTCTTCTTATGACTCTCACTTCTCTTTCCAAAAATTGTTTCCATTGTACATGTGTGTTCGTTTGTTTTTTTAAATTCTGATCCGGATGGTGATCTGCGCCCTCATATAAGATTGCTGTCAGCTAGTCAACGAGGAAAGTTTTTTGTATCTTTGTCTAAAGAAAATTAAATTTCAAGAAAGTGACTGAAAATAATGAATACTTAAGACCTTAAAATCGAAGGTTAGCGATCTTACCGAAAGCGGCAATCCGCGGTTTGCGTTTTGCGGTTTCACGTTATCCGTCTGCCCATATTTAGGACTTAAGATTCGCGGCAGCCATGTTTGTTTTTATTCATTCGTTCACTTCTATTGTCGCTGAGAAATCGTCTTCAAAGTTACGTTTCTATGAAAAATAGTTCAATAATTAATTAGCGAAAGAGTTCTGAAAAGGAGTATTTATCTCAAAAGTGGGATTGTGATGTTTTACACAGCAAAAACCTTGCGGTAAATCACTTACCTCTAGAGAGTGATCTAGCCGTACAAACGTGAACCTCAAACCGCAAACCTGACAGCAAGGTCCTGGTCACGTGACTTCTTGGCGTTTCGCGGGAAATGCCGAAAAAACCTCGATCTTAAGGTCTCTACTCGTTTCTCAAAAATCGATTTAAAAAAATCAATAGAAAACTATTGTATCAGTCAAAATCATGGTTGGGACACCCGACATTATTGTCCTTTCGCCCTCCCAAAGAGAGGAACAGAAGGCGCCGCAAAGAGGCGTTCCGTGGAAGCGTCCCAACACGAGGTTGGTCCAGTGATATTTGTCTAGCCCGGCTAGCAAGCTAACCATTGGGGGAGTCGCGAGAAGTCACGAGAGAGCAGCTTGCGAAAGGAGACGCGAGTGCCGCTTCGCTCGCCATTAATGGAGAGCTTGCTAGCACAATAACTTTTGTCTGATGCTGTAGCTATTGCAGTGTCAAGTTTACAAATAGCACAGCGGCTGTTTCAAATGCAAAAAAGCCTCTACAGGGAAAAAAGTTGTACATATATCCGGTATTAACCTCCAGGTATCATGAAATTCCAGGATTGTTCCTGGACAGTCCAATAATTATTAAATAACTGAAATTACTATATAATAAAGAAACACTATATGGTGTCTTAAAACTAAACCTTCTGTATCTTTTCTACTTCTAATTAACATAATAGCTTTCGAATCCGACAAAAATATGCTATTCAATTAATACGCATTCACATCCAGGGCATGGCCAATAAGAGAAAAGCAATGTATTACCTTATTTAGGATTTTAAATTGCTTTTACATTTAAGCTACAAGTTTTTCTTTTCATTTCAAATGCGAACACGTCACCTTTGAAGAAAGGCAAAGGCTGCGCAAGAACATTGTAAGTAAACGCCTATAATAACAAAGTTTCTAGATTCTGAGACTTGGATAAAATCACTTTATTTCTTAAAAAGTTGACATCTATTTACTCGTACATGTCTGTAATTTCAGGTATGCTTCAACGGGTACTATATCAACTTACGAAATTTACTGTCTAAGAATAATGTTACTTATACGGAAACGGAGTTATGCGTAAATGTTGGAGCCAGATTTAAATTCTAGCAATGGGGTAATTTGCGGGAAAAATTCATCGCAACGGTACTGGATTATTAGGGATAAAATTAACAAGAGAAATAAGAGGCGTAGCCAGGATTTTTTCAGAGGTACGCTCAACTCACCAATTTTCCTGTCCCTATTAAAACAAATTCGCGTTTTTTCAAACTTTCTTGCGTTTATTTCCAACTTGCTCAAAAGGGCAAATGTGGATGAATTTCACTGGACTTGAATCCTTGGGAAGCGCACTCAAGCTTGACCATAGTAAGAATAATTGACCATCGTGTATTTATTTTCACGTCCGTTAAATTACGTGGCATAAAAGATTTCACTTCTTTATCCTCGACTTTTTACAGGTACGCACGTGCGTACCGTGCGTATCCCCCTGGAAATGCCGGGGGGCATACTCGGCCTCCCACCCACAAGTAAAAGTTAAAGTATCTATGGGCCAAAACACACGGAAAATGTTTTCAGACAAAAACTCAAAACGAAACTTTTAATTTTATAATTGGGCACAGTGGGTAAGAAAGCCACAATAAATCATAGTTTGGGAAGCTTTGGTTTGTGTCCCTCAAGGAGACGCATCTTTTTATTTTTTTATTTTAAGTTCCCTTTATTTTTCTTTTTTTTTTCAGCATTCTTTTTCACTGAGGCGCCTTTATCATTCCATTATGTAGGTATCATGGTGCATACTAATTTCATATTGCCTCAATGAACCATTTTCAAAATCTCTCTGGAAGTCAATAACGGCGAGATTAATGTACGTTTTACACTGTACGCAGCGTAATACGGGCCTCTTGTAATACGCTTATATCTTGCGTAACCCAACAGCGAAAAAATCTTCCTTTAACCACATGGAATCGAAACATGAATGTTTTATTTTATATTTCTTAGGCAACGTTATGAGGGGCTGAGGAATGTGTTACCAGGGCATTAGGGTGGCTTCAAGTTATCCACTTATCCAAGCCAATGGACCAATTTCCATGTAATAAAATTCAAACTTAGCTGTGAGGTTTGGAAAAAAAACCAGAAACAAAGGAAATGACCTTGAGATCCAGGGATAAGATGACGCATTTCTTAATGACTTTATTCCCTTTCACAGCCAACTATGAATTTTATGAATTTACCGAAACAGACCCTTTTTAGCCAGTAAGTTTTGTTTTCCCATTTCAGACCACTTGATGGTACCCTAGAGAAAATGTTTCTCTTCAAATGTCGTCCTAAGCTCGTTCATTCACGAGCATATGTATGCATAGTTCAAGAAATTAAAGACAAAAGACAAATTCCCTAGAGAACATCACGTAGCTAAGTCATTATTGGAAAAAACAAAATATGCATGCTAAAAAAGTGTATTGGCCTATTCACCATTTTCACATTGCCAATAATGCACCTTGGTTACCCCTCCCCGCCCCCGGCGAAAAATGCATAAGCGTTTTTAAATGATGTTACATTGTCACAACCACTTTTTGTTTTCAATTTCTCCCGAGTATTAAAGTCATTCCAAGAGAAATGCAAGGCAATTCTTATGCAAAATTTCAAAATTTGGGGGTTAAACAAGGTCTATTGAGGGTAATGTGAAAATGACGAATTTTGTGGTTTTCATTGCAGCAAACACTGATACACCGCTGAGATGAACTTCCTATTTGGGGCTGGATTACTCTTTCTTCTTAACACCATTGAGCTGAGTGTTGCGGGCCAGGGCTCCACTCCGAAAATCAAAGAAATTGTACTAGGAAGATGCTACGAGTATCAATTGAACACTATTGGTCCAGAAGCAGATAACTGGAAAGACTGTAATGAGATCTGGGAGGCCTTTCATCAAGCCTTTGCTTACAAGAATCCGTGTACCCTAGCATTCGATGATTACCAGCCGTTCTTTGATGCAACAGGAATGCAAGAACTTACAAAGGTTAGAAAAACTGACAAGTGTCTTGTTGAAGAAGGGTGGAGCTTCTCTCAGATAATGTATTTTATTACAGGAGAGTGTAAATTAAACAAACGTCATTTCAGTCAAATCCCTGATTGTGATACACTGTTTTGAGTTAGAAATATTTGTTATTTCGGAAACTTTAGAAACAATCTAATCAGTTCAGGGACGTTTACACACGGTTTCTAACTGTATACCGGCGGCAATAATAGCTTCGAAACTGGTAAAATACAAATAAGATCTTCGAGTGCGCAAGCCTTGTATACGGAATGGCGAACAACATTTGACGTAATTATATAAACGCAAACTGTGAAAAAAAAAACCATAATACCAGGAGCCGGCTCCTGATAATACCTAAGGGGACTCAACGAACTACATGAAAAACGTAAACCGTGATGATAATAACCAAGAGACTATAAAGGGGACAGAGAGGGTATCCCCCATATACACCCTATTCCATAGGTAATTCGTCTCGAGTTATTTTTAGAATCGGGATAAAGTTATCTCGCGCGAGGCGTGGATGTTTCGTGGAGGTTTTGCATGACCAAACGCCGTGCAAAACATGTCGGGTGAGAGGCAATGAAAGCGTAAAAAGATCGAGAGCATTCCTGAATATTGAAGCGAAATGAGTCGGCACTCACCTGGGAAAAAGGAATCGCTGGACTCTTTGACAACCCGTGAAATCAGTTTAACTCGAAGTTGTCGAGTCGTAACTTCAGTGCTTTAACAAAATGAGAAATTTCGCCGGTCTATTGAAACCGGTCGTTTGTACAATTTAGGGAGTTTAAGATCCAACGACGCGGACGATAACTGGAACGTCAAAAAAAACAATAGGTTTAATTAGCAAAACAATAACTTTGCACGTGCAACACACTTTTTTGTTCATTTCTTTCCCGTTTTTGCACGACTAAGACGTGAAGATGCCTAATTTCGCGTTTTATGGAGGACGTAAATAAGCAACGACGAAATTTCATTTCTCTTTCTGAACTTGAATATGGTCCCTTGAAATTCAGCTTTAGGAGGGTTCGCCTGCAATTGAAAAAGTAAGTGGGTAGGAATAATCGCTATAAAGACTGAGAAAATAAACATCAAACCAGAAATTGCTCTCTTCAAACTGTAAATTATAAATGATCCTGAGAGAATATTCAGTGTGTTAGGGATTTTCCTGCTCTACTGTTAGCTCTATACAAGAGAGGAAGGGCGATTCTTTTTTAATTTCGGTTTCGCTGACACAGCTTTCGCAGAAATCTCGCTGTAGTCGTTTTCGTCGACAAAAGGAATAGCAAAATCGCTCTCCGCGTCTTCCCCCATTTTGTTCTGTGTCATTTCGAGAAGGACGCGTGGCTCTCAGCGTGGGTCATCCACGCAGAAAACACATTCGCGCTATGTGATTGGTTGTTGTCTAATCCCCTTTGAGATCTGTGGTGTTAAATATAACTCGAGACGAATTACCTATGGAATAGGGTGTATATGGGGGATGCCCTCTCTGTCCCCTTTATAGTCTCTTGTAATAACAGGAAAGGCTGATAATTAACAATTATTGAATGGTGCGATCTAGGAAGGTGTTATCGAGGCAAACACACCTTGAATCTAAATAAGGTCAATCTTAGCCTCGTTTTCACCTGTAACTGTGAAATGGCGATTATTAGGCCAATCAAAAACGGTGGGGAAACATTTTTTAGTTAATAATATTGAAAGTTACAGAAAAAGTATTTTGCATTCAAAGGAGTAGGGTAAGTATCGGAATAATGAAAACTTTCCCCGCAATGTTTGTGTGCAAATAGCACCGGTACAAGAGAACACTTGGCCCAAAAATAGGAAAAACGTGTCCATTTCCTGATCATGACTGGTATAGCGAAACACTAATAATCGGTTTGAACAATATTTCCCAAATAAACAGCCATGTTCGAAAACTCCTCAACTCATTATCAAGTGTCAGTCTACTCACAGCCGCACTGATACGATCTGCATACTATTTAAAAACGGGAGGGAGTTGCCGCTGGTTTAATTCTATTCAGAGAGAATATTAGACTTGCCCTACCCAACGTTGCCCCTTACTGCCTTTCTACGATTGAGGGGTTACAAGCACAAGTAGTGAGTAAATCAGCTAACTTTAAGGTCTAATAACCCGTCGTCGTAACGTCTTGCATGGTAGCATGGCTATGTGACTTGGTTTTCACTTGAAATCATGCCATTTTTCTATGTTGAAGCCGATCTTCTTTCTGAAGAAGATCAGCCTCAAAATGTATCCTTGCCTTTCCTTCAGAGTCTGTTCTGGTCTGGTACACATAAACTTGCGCATGTCTATTCTGATTCCGGTGATCGATATACAACTTTAGAAGATACCTTGGCCGGGTAAGAATCAGCTTCAGGTTACTGTTTCTTTTAATTTAGTGTCACCTGTTTAAAATATAACATTGCAGGACGGCTTTAGGAGTTTTTAGATTGTTGACAGTCCCCTATATTTCCGTAAGATCGTCCAAATCGAGGGCTTCGCATTATTCTCTTTCCCACCTCCTCGCGATCGGTACATATGAAACGAAGATGGACGCTCGTACCGATAAGCACTCGATCCTTACGATCTTAAGAAACAACAGGGGACTGTGAACAGTCTAAATAGTAGTTTTAGGAGCGCTTATAACTGGAAGGCCAGACCACGATCCAGTCGAAAAGAAAATTTCACTAGTAAATGGGGTCTGTCCCCGCCAGATCAGTCTATTCCTAATAGCATACACTTCAGTGATAGCTTTTTAGCCAAAACTCTCAAGGAGAAACCCTATTTTATTTTCAATGATCGACTTCTAAAAAAGCGCAGGCCTGGGTTCACTCCCCCGATCATTTTTCGTTAAGTTAGTTATAGTATTTATAGCTTTAATGCTAGTGGGGCAGAGCGAATCCCTGAGAAAAATAATTTAAATCAAACTTAACAGAATCTCAACGGGCCGGAGATACTCTGGCAAACCAGCCGGCTCAGTATTTACAAACGTGGTCGAGGATTCAAACTCGGGACTACCAAATCCAGTAGCGGTCAGGGCCGGACTTAAACTGGGGACCTCTGAGTTACAAGTCCAGCGTTCTTATCGCTCGGTCACCCACCTCCTTACCAGCCTAACCTTCGCTGTCCACGTTAGCTGGCCCACACCATTGACTGACAGGAAACTGTTGGCCTCCTAAATTTCATCGGAGACTCAAGATGGATGATCCAGTAAAACAGAATACGTAACTGATTATTACCATTTCTTCATTTGTGTAGATTACTATAGCCTATGTCAGGCTCAACCATTCATTTCAACATCTAGGAGAGTTGGTCACAAGACACTGTCAGACCAACTCATCCTCTACGTGAGTGTGTTACATTGTAGGTAAGTAAGAATTTCGTAATAATAATTACCAATTATGTACGTTTTACGTCTAAAACCTCTTGCAGGTATCTGGCGAATGGACTGACTTGGTGTGGGAGTGAAAACCTGTCTCCTTCAGACTCCGATGGGATTGACTACGATTCCTGTCCAGATTGGAGTGAATGTGATTATACGACACCTTTCTGGGGTCTCGCGTCAACGACGGTAAGGTATCATCATGTACTTTTCTCTCAAACTTTTCTCGTATTTTTCTCTCAAACTTTTTAAGTTATCGTTTCCTTAACTCTGTGTTTAATAGCAATAATTAACAGTTAATGAATGAAGCTGAGTATCTTATGAAGAATTATGGAGATCGAGGAGGGTGTTATTCGTCGAGGCCGTAGGCCGAGGCGGATAACACCCTCAGAGATCTCCATAATTCTTCATATGATACGAAAGCCGAATTCAATAACTGTTTTATTATTCATTCAAAATAATTCCTAGTTTAAAAACATAGTTAAAACATGCTTGCCTCCATCGATCCATCGATGTTCGGTTCATCTTCGATAGTGTATGTTTAGGTTTGTCCAGCTCCGCAAATATTCTCCAAATAGCAGATGTCGCCCTTCGAGTTGTCTTCTTGCTGTTCTGGCCATGTTTTTAGCTGTTTTTTCGCCTAGTTCTTACTCTTGAAACGAGTGAAATGTCCGCCATTTTTTTTAAGTTCACAACCAAAACAACTCAACCTCGTCCCCAGGTCTTCTCGGTTAACGGTCCGTTAACCTGCAAAAACGCTGCATTTTTGACGCCATTTCCTCGTTAAAGTCAAAATTCTTCCAAATTTGGTCATCAGTAACTGGTTATGGTGAATTAAACGTGTGCTTTTAGCCAATCAGAATTGGGGAAATATTTTGAATGAATAATAATATCTATTAATTTGTTCTTCTGTCCCGCCGATATTAGCAGTTACTACCTGCGGGTCAGTGTAATTACTTAAGTTAAATTCTTGAAATAAAGTTTTGTTGTTGTTGTCATCGAACAAGTTTTAACGAGCTTTATAAGCTCCTGTAGGTGCTACATAGACACGCAATGATACTTTAAATTTATAGGCAGCCGCGGGCCAAGTCATTTAATTAATAACTTAAACAAAACTAAATTCTTCTATTTGTTTTTTAAAGTTTGCAAGACATGCTCGAGGAATTGCTAGAGTACTGCTGAATGGTTCCAGGGTCGATTCAAATGGAAAACCTGTTCCTTACAGAGAAGACAGGTAATCGTGCCTGCGGCCAAGTAGTTCTTACAAATCATGTAGTTGACTAAGCCACGGAACTAGAAGGGAAAGGCGCGGGCAGGGGAATTTTCCACATATTGGATTCACCTTCCGAAAAATCATAATAATTAAAAATTACTGCGAGGCTCAAAATTCTCAACCTTAAAATAATAGCCAAGGTCATAAAATTGAAACACCTTTGGATGTTGACAAACACTGGGGACAAATGACATCGAAACGTTCCGAAGATTCACTTTCGCAAGTCCTACTTTTTATAAACCTCCTCTGAATATAATCCAATCGAAATGGCCTTAAAAAAAACCACTAGGCTTTAGAGGAATTGGTTAGGTTTTTTCGGTCCAAATCTTTCCGTTTTTCTTCCTTTATTACTTTTACCAAGAGAGGGCTTAAAGGATTACATACTTTCTTATGAACAGAACACAATAAGCCAGATAATTACGTTATCTATTATATTAATAATATAATAAGGAATTTCGTTATTTTATTTTGTAGCTTCTTTGCCAAATACGAGCTACCAAATCTTCAAGTGGACAAAGTTTCTGAACTCAGGATCGTAGTGGTTCACACAAACGGCCCTACACGGTGAGAAACAGTAAGAAAATGTGTGCGGAAAAAAATCGGCCTACATAAAAACGGCAGATACACGTCTTTTAAGGTGTAACTAGCAGATTTTCGTATCACTTGCAGTACTTACTGGGATGATGCGCCAAATCTTTTAGCCTTACAGGTATTGCCTTACAGGTACTGCTAGCTGATGGCTGTTCCTGAAGTAAAATCGGCAGAAGGGAATAAATCAGAAATGAAGAAATAAATATCATTACCGACAACTTTTTTGTCTAAAGTAAATCAAGTTATTATAGCTTTTACTCGGTTTTAAGAGAGAATTCTCTCTTGGTGGTTGTCTGTTTTTGGATAATATTTTTTTTATGGATGAAATAGAGCTATAGGCCACGTCCAGACCAGTCGTCGATTTAATTCGTCAGGAGAACAACTCAAATTTTTTGACAAGCATCTCTGGCCTCTTTCAATAGAGGCAGCACCCGTCTCCTTCTCACGAAAGATCTGCTTTATTCTGGCAGTATATTTTATTTTCATTTATGGTATTTTTTGAAATTCTCATTTCAGAAATTATGCTACTTTTACCAGCTTAAGTTTACGTTGTTACTCATTTGGCAACATGTCATATAATGATATAAATTTGATTTTTTTACAGTTTACGCAAGGGTTGTTACACTGCCTCTATTAGAATGCTTAAAAAAGACGCAAGAAAAAGGGGACTTAAAGTAACCTGCTACGACGACCCAAAGTACGTGGTATCTCAGCTTAATATTGATCTCTAGTTCTCAAAGCTATCATCTCATCACCAGGAGCCTATAACTCGGAGCCAGCAACTTCAATGTACTTGTGTCAAAGTGTTTTCTCTGAGTGGTTTATTTTTAGAACGGTTTTGGCGCGAACTTACAACGTCCCATCTTTTATATTTTAAGTCGCACGAACCAGTCAGCACAAAATTGGACCTTTTATTATCATGACTTAAGTTTTCCTTTTTTATTCGTCGTATGTGCTCATTCACGGAGTGGGGCTTCCATTTTCAAGCTGAAAAAGTGCTCCACAAGGTATCTAAAAATATACCGGTTTGTGAAACTTCCGTGACATATACCTAGTATGGGACTTGCTCCCTCCGGGTTATGGGCTCCTGTCTCATAAGATATGGACCATAGTAGCAGCTCACAACCTATGGGCTCCTGGTAAGCATAGAGAATAAAAAAAAGGCGGTTGACGAAATGTCATATGAAGTCAATCAATCAGTCAATATCAATCAATAATTTATTTACCCACGTTAACGTCAAAGAGCACAAGTGCTCGTTCAAAATACGAACGTGCAAGTCCGCGAAAGTCATTAAAATCAATCAGCAAGCGAAGAAACCCGATTCCTGGGTACTGGAGAAAACAGCAACTTTTTGCGGCAAAAGTGTCTAGGAGGCTTCGGGTGATCTCCTCTTATGAATTTAAGGCCATCAAAATCAACTTGTATTTGTCAAATTATTTGACAGAGGTTTTGTAGAATGTAACTGTAATAAACCCTACTAAGTAAGAAAATTTCGGGGTACTTACCATGAGCGAAACGATGATTCATCTCAATATTTACAAGGGGTCTACTCACCTTCGTCTCGCCATTGTAAATCAGTGCCTCCCATACAGTTCTACCTCTCATACGTGTATTATAGTATTTATCTATCACCAAGAGCCATTAATGTCCCTTTATGGATCTTGCTATAGACCATAAAGCGCAAGCAGATATCAAGCTTTATATCAATATCTTACCTTTTTGTCTTGCCAGTGACGTGCGCCACATTTTGTGTACGGACGATCCTTTCTCTCGTAAATGCCTTTTTCTCCTCTTTAACTCTAGGAGATATTAAAAGGTAAGAATGATGACGCGGCTAAACTTTTATGTGTCTGGATGGACTTTATCACTAGATGATAAAACGCTGGCATGAGTAAATTTAGCCTGCGTGGCAGGTGCAAAAAGGGGAGGAGGGGGGGAGAAAAGCGCGAAAGCGGGAAAAAGGGAAGGGAGGGTACCTTTCCCTCTTCCCCCAATCCCCTTCCCTTTTTCTCTTCCTCTCCATCCCCTATCCCCTTTCGACGCCTGCTACACAGGCTAGAGTGAATTATGCAGCTATCCTGGCTGGACAAAGTAAAAAAATTAAATAAAAAGATTAATACACAGTGGATTCTTTTCATTAAAATAAACTTCCTATGCAGTCAAAATCTCACCTTTTGTGATTATGGTTTTATTAAGTCTGCAAACTTAGCAACTAAACAAAGCAAACACTCAGTGCTGGCTGTAAGTACACACACTCAGACACAAAAAATAAGTACAGTGCAAGTCATTACACCAAAAGAGGTTGCATGGCTTTAAAGAAAATTCTATAAAGCCTAAGAAGCTAAAGTTTATAGCACGAGGAGCTTTTTAAAAGCTTTTAAATTTAGTTAGGGTAATTTCGTACCCAGACCTCGTCGGCTTTTGGGTGCATTCATTTGCATCGACAATTGGTTATTTTAGTACATTTCTTTGACGTCCACTGCACGACTACGAACCAGAAACTCATAAGGGGTTGAAACGTGTAACTCGCGTTCAATGCTCGTGAATATACACTTTTACCATATTTGGAAACCTTAGTGACAGATGTCCATTTTCAACAAAATGGCTGCCGCGCGATCACCATGCATATGTTTTAAGACAAGAGTTCTGCATTTCAAGGTTTAAAATACACCGTTAAAAGACAAAATATGGAAAGAGAAAAATCCAAAGAATGCTCAGCTTTCTTTTTTTGGAGGAAGGGAAGCTTTTCATTAAGAAATCGCCTTCAAGGAATTCAACCTTGTTTTCTTCACGACGGAGCGCATGGTCTGTTTTGAAATGCAACCAAGGCATTGAAGTTTTACAGGTACATTTTGCCCTCTGTGGCCAAGACAATTACGTTTTTGAAAGGGAATTTATGTATTTTTAAATATGTCATAGACGTTTTATAAATTTTTCTCTTCGGCGCTTAAGAGAAAAATTACAAAATGTGCCCCGATTTGAGATGGATCTTGTGTTGAATTTTGCCATGTGCTCAGCCGATTTCACTTGCGTGAACGGATCCACGATCCAGATAGAGTTTTCCGAATTGCTTTAAAGGACTAACTTTTTGGACTTTAAATAAAAATGTTCAAGAAACGGATTATATGTCTATTCTTTTGAATTTAAGCTTAAATGCTTCTCACATTCATTACAAGCACCACTTTTTGCGAAGATGTCAGGTTCAGGTTTTGGACACTTCTCGATACGCAGCCAATGATTTTCTTCGAAAATATTTTTTACTGTTTATTCTAGACTTTTAGTATAAGAATTTTAAAAGCCTATAGTTTACTATGCACAGGGTCAACGAGGCATCGTTTTTTGAAGTGACAACTTCAAGTAGTTGCGAGGACGTTAGTGGGTTTCACAATGTTATGTTTGGCCCGGGTGGTAAGGCAATAATATCCTGCTCAGTGTTTCGGTAAGATTCCCGGTCTCAACCTTTGAAAGCTTTCTCGGCTTTCGGGAGTTTTTCCCCCGTTTGTCAGCCATTTTTTTAAGTGGGCGCGGGAACCTGAAGTAAAATTACGTCGCGTTGTTTAGGAAGTTTGATTGGTCAGTTATCTCTTCTTCTCGTTCCAAATATGGTACTTTCGAAAATGAATAATCACGAGCATCGGACAAAGCAAACATATGAGTCATATGAGAGTTACACGTTTCAACCCCTTAGGAGTTTCTGTACGAACTTAAAACCCCTTAATGTGTCGTTTATGGATGACGTGGACATACAACAACAAATTCTCCTTTCTCTTTTTGAACATGGATAAAGTCCTTAAGAATTCAACTCCAGGAAAAGTCACCTACATTTGATAAATTGAGCGGGTCCAAAAAGACGCGATAAAGTTTGAATGAACGCAAATTAGTGGTTTTTTTTTTTTTTAGCGACCTCATTTCACTGCCCTCGTCGTCTTCGCGGCTTTAGCTCCCTTTGTTTGGCGAGAACGGGCAAATGCAAATTAACTTTTGGATTCATTTGCAACATTCGCGTAATAAAAACAACAAAAAATTCCAGTGGACAAATTGCGACAGATACGCGCATGTTGCAGATGAATCCACCCTAAAGTAGACTCTGGACTAAATGAAATTATTTTCAATCTTTTCAGGTGGCGTCCGTTCTCTCAGTGACCTTTGCAAGCAGTGCGATAAATAATCCTATAAATTAAGTTAAAATTGGATGGAAATAAACTTAATCCGTTCCTTAAAAACCTTACTGTTTTCTTTTCTTAAACATAAACGTAAACGATGAGATAGGGCGAGTCATTAAGAAATAGGGAGGAGGGGGTGAAACTGGACTGCACTAATGAAGTTCGAATCATCATTTATACACGTTAACTGCTACAATTTGGGTGAACCGCGGGATGAGTGATTGTAAGGGCTGGTTTTTTGGAGCAGCATTTTTATTTTATATTTTTTTGTTAATTCAAAATGAATAAAACGTCTGGAGAATCTTAATAAGAGGTCTGGTCTGAAAACGGGTGTGGAAAATTACATTTTTTGGTCTAAAATAGGGTCAGGATTTGGAGAACCGGGCGGCACACACCCACCAAGAATTCCCAGGAATACCCCCCGGTGTGATTTGAATTAGCATCGACGTAAATTGAGATGAATAAAAAAAAATCGCGTTAATAAAGTGCATCGTTAATTTCCTATAATAAGATAACTCTTGATGACAGATAAAAAAAAGTACATAATAAGTACAGTCGACTCCCGATAACTCCGCGAACCCTCGCTAACTCGAACCTCGCGCTGACCTCGCTCATACGAATAGCAGCGAAAATATATAGGTTACAACAACTGTATGCATACATGTAGTTTCGCTCTCACGACAGTTAGTATCACGTGACCACGTTTCCATGACCGTTTCCTATTTGGCAGCCATCATTTCGCCCCATGTAAGGGAATCCAAGACAGATTCTGGATTCTACGCTGTGGATTCAAGGTAGCTGGATTGTATACTGGATTCCAGTGTTTGTCGATAGAAATTGGAATCTGGATTCCAATCGTTAGTGGGATTCCGGATTCCGTTGAATTGTATTCTGGTTTCCACACGCAAAAATTTCCCGGATTCCGGATTCCACACGCAAAAAATTCCCGGATTCCGGAATCCGGATTCCTTTACATGGGGCGAATCATTTGAGAAATCAGAGAAATTTACGTTCAGAAATTTTCTACGTCCAGCTGTCAGAGAACTTTATGTTTGCCAGCTGTGTAAACGACTCATGACCGCCCATGAATGGAAATTCCACTTTTACCTAAACGCCGATAAGCTCATTGCAAAAAGTAATCATATTTCAGACACTGATTCATGTGTTTTTGGGCTGTGTTTTGATTGGGTACTCGAGGTGAGGTTACCAACGTGGTATAAATGGTGAGGGTAACTCTGCTGTTAAGCTGATTACTCCGATGAGCTGTATATTGACATCCGAGTGATTTTTTTGTTGCCGACTGTCAGCGCAACCTTCACTCGACAGACCCGAACTGTAAGCTGAATATATGAGCCCCGATCCATCCCCCAGAAAGCTTGTATATAACGGCCCTGTATTACCCTGCACATTACGGTCACCGAACAACCAAAATTTAAAGCTGCCAACAGCCGTTTCTCCTCTCTCCTCGCGGTGCCGAAATCAGAATCTAGAGATTAATGCAAAATCGGAAATTCTTAGGTGAATAAAACACACAAATCCCGAACCTCTGAGCCCAACAAACAGCCACCACGAAAATCTCGAAAATTCTAGCCCTTTTAGAGGGCTCCGAACAGATATTTTCCAGAAAACGGTCGTTGGGTGCCCCTGGTATGAATTTTGTTACACGGATCAGCAAACTTGCAACATTGTCAGCAGCGGCGGAATTATTCTTTCGCCGGGATACCGTCGATATTGTTGGTCGTTTCTTCTATGTAAATGAATGAAAATTTAAAAACCTCTTTTGGGTGCATCGTTTCTTTTGTTAACGAAAATTAAAATTCTAATGATCTGGATTTCTGATCTGATCTTGACTTTTATTTAGCAAAGAAACGCACCTTAAATCGCGCACCCAACAGAAGGTCCACGACCCACAACACACGACTCATGACGCACGACCCACGCGATTTCGAGTTAGCCATCCTCGTGCCACCTGTCTTCAGTGCTAGACAACCCATGAGTGAATTTTGTGGATAACACGTGACCGTTTTGCACGATACCGTACTTGAGGTCTTCAATTCCAGGAAATTCTGCGCATTTTTACCACTGAAACTGTGACATTTAAAGGGGGAATCTGGCTGTTTTACGTGTAAAGATGGAGACCGGGCAGTAATGGTGGCATATTTTATTTCCTTAACAGAAGAGACTACGAAATACCACCAGCAGGTTAAAATCAATAGTTCAAGCCGGTCCAGCGCGAAAGCGTGGCCACATAGCGACGAGACTATGTCAAAAAAAGAAAGTCAGTTATAAACCGTTTCTAGCTTAGGCGTCGCTTGTTTTCGTTTTTTTTAAGGCCAAAGCTTAGTTAACCCTTTAAGATCCGCGCGAATCAGGTCTCATTTTCGGAGAGTTGTCATGTAGTCAGATTAGAGTTCATATTACCTGCATCCCGTCTATGGGAATAATGGACTTTCCTTAATCGATTATAGAAAATATCCACATTACTAGTTTTTCCTTGCCGCTAGGGGCTTGGCGAAACGTCCTTAGCGGCGAGGAGGAAGAAGTAACGGCTATATTCGCACTGAGGCTGTCACAAACCAGGGCGGAGCTCAAACATAGGAAATCCGTTCTGTCGAGCAATATGAATACAAAACTGACTTTAATTTGAACG